AGGGAGGGAGGAGGGAGGGAAATGAAGAACTGATACCAAGGGCTCAAGTAGAAAGAAAATGTTTTGAAAATGATGATGGCGACAAATGTAAAATGTGCTTGACACAATGGATGGATGGATTGTGATGAGTTGTATGAGCCTCCAATAAAATGATTTTTTTTAAATATTGCCAGTTTGTAACGTCATTCCCATAGTCACACATTTACATAAAAGTTTATATATATTTATTAAATAATCTATTACATATTTATATATTTTATGTTATATATTTTGCAAAATACAGTGCGTGTGTATATAGGTGTGTGTGTATAAATAAAAGATACCCATTAAATGTTTTTAATAAACCACATAAAGACCATCACTGACCATAAGATGGCAGAGGAGCTATTGAGAATATATCCAATATGTGGAATTTAATCAACATAAAACCTAAATGCCCTTTGAATGGATTAGAATCATTCAATCACCCATAAGGAAGAGTTTTAGGCACTTACTTTAGTGTCCAAAAAATTATAACAGATCACTTAAAAGTCAAAAGAAGACTTTTCCTCCTCCTTTCTTTCCAACTGTTAAGGTGTGCACGTGTGCACACACGTGTGTTTATAGCCCAAGTCAAGTATTATAAACTTTGGCATTAGGATTATAACCACCATTAGAAAAAGTGAAATATCAATGTAGTACCACTCTGAGGACAAAGCTATCCTAAAACTAGAGTTGTCCAGTAAATAAATGCTCTTGGCAAATTCCCAAGATAATGTTATGGTAAATTTCCAACTTGTTTTATCTAGAGTCAAAGAAAGCACATTATCTGAAGCACTGGATTACATTCAAATAGATTCTAACTAAAAGTTTTACATCAAATAATGACTTGGAGAATTTTTTTTTACTCTGTGGTTAGAATGCCCCCTAAATCCAACAACAGGATCATTGATAGTTCAGTGGTGTAATTCCAACCTTCCATGAAGGAGACCCTGGTTCAGTTCCCAGCCAATGAACCTCATGCCCAGTTCTAGCCATCTATAAGTGGATGCTTGCTTATTGCTATGATGCTAAATACACTGAAGCTTTCCAGACCAAGACCCCTAACGAAGAAATGGTTAGCAATCTACTTCCAAGTATCAGCCAATGAAAATCCTATGGATCCTAATGGTCTGATCCTGCTGAGCATGGGGTTGCCCTAAGTTGGGGGCTGACTCAAAGGCAGTTGACAAGCTCAACAAGGGTCATTTGGGGAATATTAACTGTACCTAAAATTCTAAGTCACCTATTACTTAAGAAAACCTTGATACCAATACGCTCTCTTTGGAGAGAATGTATTTAAACAACCATTATTTTGGCTGAATGTGAAAAATGGTGCAGTGATACTGAAAAATCTCCATAGTTTCTTTCTATAATGTGGATAGCATATGGATAGTTAGCCTCTGGTTTCTAGCTTGAGTCACTGTTCCGAGTCTCCTGCTTGCTATCTGTAGGTCAAATTCTTTTATTAGTTGCATGTGTGATGTATCAATTTCATATAAAAACAAACATTCAGGGATGAGTACATATATGGATGCACAAATATGACACTCTAGACATGCTGCACTTTCCACTCATAATTTTTAATAAATCAATATGACACTAAACTGAGAAGGAAAGCCAACAGTTAACAGAAAAAAATTTAATTTAGGAAGCCAAGAAAAACATAAGTAAAACAGATACATAAGACAAAGTCAACATATTTTCACAACACTTCTAAGTTTCTCTACAAATTTTTGTATTTTCAAAAAGAATGTTTTAAAAATGACATCCAGGAATACATTTCTAATTCCCAAAATAAATAATTCAAGTTTATAGATCTGAATACAAAAATAATGCAAGCAAAAGCCAGCATGAAATAAGAAAAAATAACTCTGAAACATTAAAAGTGGGATGGACTAAACATTTACAGAGCTCCCAAAATGTAGAAATTAAGCATGAATATTCCTATTGTATTAAAACAAACCTGAAATACTATCCCAATCAATACTTACCATGAACAGTGAACAATGCAAGATTTATTGCAGTATACTTTATAACCAACCAATACTGAGTTATTGGGTTAATATTAGTAGTATTTTAATGAAGGCTGGTAGAAGTCTGAAATTGGTGTTGGCAGCAGTAAAAATGAAGCCTAATGAAGATAATATAAAACTGACCCTAAAAGCTCCTTCCTGCATATTTGGAAAAAGAAACAAATGTACAAATAAATGCAGAATATCAAAGTAGCAACAGACTGGATTAAAAACAGTCTGGATGTTCAATTTCCCATAATGCAGAAAACATTTTTAGACCTGATCAGATGAAAATAAATGTGTCTTTCACAGTTACGGGATGAAATTTTAAGCTGGCCAGGCACCAGTGCCCTGATTTTTTACTTTTTCATAAACCAAATGACTTCCACATGCTGAGGATGTTTTATGCTTTAACCTGCAGTAAAGGCTTTACATCATTTTAATGCCCAGTGCTTAAAATGCAACAGAATCGCTCCAATGAATGCAAGGAATATAACTGGCTTACATTTAATGATTTCAATCAGACTATTAGTAAGAAAAAGTTTAATGAAAGCTTTTCCCAGTAAATAACTGCATTTCCAAGGAATAAAACGCAACTACAACAAAAATGTGAGCTAAGGGTAGGTGATAGACACAACATTCTTACATTTTCCTGACTCTTAACAAGCATTTTATGATTTTTTTCCTAAAATTATTACTAAGCACTTTAAAACTCTGTGACTATCAGACTATCTTCAGGCAAAGAAAACAACATAGCTAGCTATACAAGATTTTTTTCAGTTTTTACAAAGTGCTGTTTCACATTAAGATATAAGGTTAATACAAATAATTCTGGAAATCCTACCTATAACAGTCTAACATTTCAGCTTTTACCAACATAATCTATATTCTAAATTTATAATTTAGAAAACATCTTTTTTCCCCCCTATTCAGGTCAATCTAAATATATATGTTACTTCACACTTAATTGTCAGCTTATCTGTGTGAATGACCAGCTGCTGAAATGTTATATTCTATTGATGGGAAGTTCAGTTTTTATAGAATCTAAAGTCCCTTCTTATAGTTGGTAGTGTCAAGAATTAATAAGTTTGGGGCCAGTATGTAAGTACATTAAATTATCAGCAGTCTAAATAGAGAGTATGACAATTCCTTTAGTGATTTAAAAGTCTATTACACAGAAAGATTCACATACGCAGGCTAATTAAAGAACTTCGATTTCAGATGCAGGTACAAAATATACGCTCTTAAATCCTCTTGCTTCAGTGGTACTGAATATGAAAGACAGCAAAAGCAAGAAATGTTGCAATCTCCTTCCTTTATGTAGCTCTAACTGAAGCTAACAAGAAATTAGCACTGAAATGTTCAGAATCTACAATTCCCCAACTTGATTTATAAACGTCATTCACCTACAGTTAACAACTTCATTTAAAAATAAGTTTAATGTAAAGCACTGCAATCCTATTGTGAAAAATACCTGTAGCATAAATGCAAACGAAAAACAAATGCTGACTGTTTTCATCTAGTGATGCATATTACAGGACAAGGGGAAAACCCAAACACAAAAAGCACACATAAAAATCACAACCATATTAACACGAGCTAAATTAAAAAGGCTCAGGAGACACTATGTCCATCCAGGAAAAGAAATCTTGTGCCCCAGGAAGGAAGGAAGAAGAAAATGAAACAGGAGGAGGAAGGAAGGTGTTTCTTCTACCTGCCGGATTCCGGAGAAATAAACTAGTCACATCCTCTACCCTGTGTGATACATGAGGAATGTAAAGCTTCAGAGTAAATAAAAACAGCAATCACTTTATACCATTCAACTTCACACAGTATGGTATCTTTAATCCCAACTGCATTCTTCGCTTCACTCACCCAATGTTTCCTCACTCTTCCATCCTAGCTTTCAGGCAAATGCGAGGCAGAACAGGGTGGGGTAGAAGAAAAACACCGGCAGCGCCTTTCAGATACCCCCAAATTATTCCCAACAGTTTTTCCTACTACGAAAATAAGTCGCCCCATCTCAACATACACAACAATCATTCGGTGTCATTAGCAGACACGCACACACATACACAATTCAGCACTCCGGACCTCCCCCGCCCCCACCCCAAGTTATTAAGTAATGATTAAAATATTAACCCCGGAGACGACCAGATACCTCTACCTACCGCTTCGGGATGAGGGTGGGTGGAGGACTCCTTTCAAAGTAGCCCCAACAGTGTAACCAACACACGGTTCCGGAATAAAATATTAAGAACACTTTTCCTTCCCCACCTAGCCAATGCCTTAAGGATGCAAACGCCCATCTCCACCCCAGAGCATGTCTACAATTCCGCCCGGAGTTTGGGGTGCAGATCGGAGCCGAGGAGGGGCCGGGGGCGGCGTGCGAGCGGGCGACGGGACACCAACGAGTTGCTCTCCCCAGGCCGGCCCGCACCACGTCGTCAGGCAGACGTCCAGGGCAGGACCTCACCACGCCGCTCAGCCAGGCCCGCTTCAAAGCTGTTTCTGGCTATCCAACTTCTTATCTGTACACATGTAGCCAGTTCACACGCCTCACGCAAGTACACGTAACAGTTTAAAACACAGCCATACATACCAAACCAACCAACGCTCCTCAAAATCACGCACAGTTTCCCCAACTCCGTACTGCAGACCCCACCTCCCGGATTCAAACCTTCCGCCCATAGTGGAGGAGACGAGGAGAAAAGAGTTGAAGAGAAGCCGACGCCTTTCAATTAAAGCACCCTATAAACTGCCCCACCCCACATGCTACGTCCGGGTCACACACTCGGAAGCCCCCGGCGTTCTCCCTCCTCTCGATCCGGCCACTCAGGAGACCCTTCCCCATCCCACTCACTTTCTACCAAAAACCTCGGAGGGGTGGGGGGATGTTTTTAAGTTAAGAGAAAGAAGTGAGGGAAGACATTTGAGGTAGTCTTGCTTCAAATCCGCTCGACTCACCTCAGAATCCTGGCAGAGTTCTCTTCGCTCGGCACAGCCCCCTCCCCAAAGTCCCAGTGCAAAGGGCTAAGCTAGGGAGGAGGGGAAAGCAGGAGGGGGAGGGGTGTCTTCCGAGTGGGGCGCCCGTCGGGAAGGAACTTGGGAGGGGTTGAGGCCGGCACAGGAAGAGGAGAAGGGGGAGGGGAGGCCACTATCTCCCAGTCTCCCCCTGAAAAACCTCCCTTGTCTCAATCACATTAGACTGACTGTCTTTGTCTGGCTGACAACCGCCATATTGATATCAACAGCTCTGTTCCCACCTGCTGCCGCCAGGCGGCCCTGGGAGTTGTAGTTCCTGCCTCCCTTGAGTAAAAGCACGGAACTCAGGGCCTGGAGACCCTGGGCAACTACAACTCCCGGCAAGACTTGCGTCTATCCGCCTGCCCAAAGGGAGGAGGGGAAAGGGAATCCAGAGACGTAGAGACTACACATCCCAGAATCCCAGGGAGTCCCAGACCGAAATGGGGGACATGATATCATGCTGGCGTGGAGGAGGACGAAGAGGCTGCGGGGATAAATTTGAGCTGACGAAAGGAGTTCAGAGGGGAAAGAGAGGGGAAAAAAAAATATATATATATAAATACTCTATATGATCACATTTCCCATGGTGCATCTAAGTATGACTACATTTCCCATGATTCCCGGGAAGGGTAGGGGGTAGAGACTGCATGTCCCATAATGCTCTCTGCAGGTTGGTGGCGGAGATTGAACCGGAAGGTGCTTCCTGGATGTGTGGAGTCGAGTGACTGGTATTGAACTCCAAAAGTCCAATATGAAATTGGTGAGTCTCCACTTCTAGGACAAGGGCGATGCCATATCCTTTTGGACTTCGTTTACACCTTGGGAAACATACCGTCGGGAGGCGGGGTTGCTGTTTCGGAACTGGAAAGTAGGGTGTACCAAGGATAACTGCTTTTTGTTGTTGAGTAGTTACATAATCCCCTCGCCCCCCACCTCCTTTACTCTTAAAAGGGCCAGATGTTACTCATTGTTAGGTCCCTTTCGTCAGATAAGAAGTTGAATGCCTCGTTCCTTCATCTAAGAACTAGGATGGGAACGTACTTAAGACTTCTGAGCTTCCACGTGAGTGTATTAACAGGCATACTCGGTTGATAACTGTTTAAGCTCTTCTCCTTGCCCTTGTGGAGAAGACTGGGTAGACAGTAGAAGTGAGTTGAAATATTGGGCAGAACATAATAACTTATTAAGTTTCCTAATTATAATTACCCTTTGCACTCAAAGGAGGACGGGACCAGCGTGTGATGTTGGGGCATGTAAGTCGTACACCCCGAATAAGATTTGGATAGAGAAGAAATGTGTTGGCTTACTGGTCTAGAGCTGAAGGGCATGCATGAGCAAAGGTTCAATGGAGCATGCCAACATACCTTGTGGAAGTCTTGAGTCGCAAAGCTCAAACACTTGATATATAGGAAAGCTTCTCAAATCTTTATTTGGACCTTTACTTTCATTGTGAACACAGATCTATAAGTGAGTGTGTTCCAGTCATATTGGATTAGCAATGGCACAGTTAGAAGAATCAGAACATAGCTGTTAACTTTTCACAACCTTAAAATCTTGGGGCCAAAGTTGTCAAGCTTTCCATTTTTTGTCAATTCTGTACAAAAATAAATGGTTTGCTTTTCTATTTATATAACTTTTCAAATAAGCCTTTCCAGAGTATACCTAACTCTCACCGCCATTTGATAAGAATACACTTTGTGGACAAAGCATACAGGCATACGCTTTGCAAAGTGTCAGCTATTTGCAGAGTGGAAGTTAAAGAAAGTTTTTAAAGTAGCACTTAACTCCAAAACTGTGTCCATTTAAAGTCATTTATGTAAGGAGCTCTGGTAGTGTAATGGAGTATACATTGGGTTGCTAATCATAAGGTCAGCAGTTTGAACCCATCAGCTGCTCTGAGGGAGAAAGATAAGGCTTTCTCCTCCAGTAAAGAGTTTACAACCTCGAAACCCACCAGGGCAGTTCTGCCCTGCTCTCTAGGGTTGGTGTGAGTTAGAATTAACCCAATGGCCAGGAGAATATCTACTTGATTCCAGGTCCATGTGTTAAACGTTGAAGATTGCAGAATCGAAATATATATACTGTTTGCCCTATAGAAGCGTGTAATCTAATGAAGAAGACAGAAAAATGAGCCCAAATCATAATTTACTGGGTGAAATAGAAGCGTGTTGAGGGGTTTGAGAATTGAGATGACGGGCAGCTGGAGAGGCCAGGGCTCACTTCCTAGAAAGGCGACGCTTGGACGGATCCTTGAAGGATAAGTAGGCCAGAGCCTTCCATGAAAAGGATTCAACTCATAAGAGCAAGGGAAAATAATACTAGCAACTAAAAAAAAAAGACAATGTTCTCCTTAAATTATTTTTTTTTAAGAGCAAAAGAACTTATACCTTGATGGTTGGAAGCAGGACTATATTTTTGATAAAGGACGGAGCACATTTGGTGTGCTCAGCTTTTCCCAATACTACTCCTTTGCTGAAGGTATCTGAGAGCCAGGGTTACACATACTCTGACTTGCTGATAAGATCACCTTTCTTAATTTATTTAGAGGTATGAAAACATGGAAGACATAAGGGAACACTAGAAAAAAGTTTTTCTCTCCTAAAAACCAAAAGATGCTGGGGGCATGAGGAGGAGAAAGTAGACAGGGAGAGTATTCTCTGAGCACTCCTTCTTTTAATCTCTGTATTAAAAACTCACTGCCATCAGGTTAATGCGTACTCGTGGTGAGCCCCTGTGGGTTTCCAAGACTATATGGAGTCGAAAGCTCGTTCTTTCCCTGAGGACGTTTTGAACTACAGACCATGTAGATCACAGCCTAATCAATATCCCCTACACCACCAGGGATCCATGATCCATTTATTACATATTAAAATTCATTTGCTTGGTGATACATGATGTGTATTACACAATTCCTATCAACATGCCTACAAGGTCTCTAAAACATTGTCTTCCACTGAGTTAGACTTCTCCCAGAGCCTAAAATGTTTAACTGTGTGAACTACTTTAGAGCTATGTGGTATGCCATGTTTTCCATTTATATAATGAAACATAAAAACTCACTCACCCAGTTGATGCCGACTCAGTGACGCCTTTAAGAGAGGGTAGAACTGTGTTCTTGAACTGCTCCTTATTTTAGTTGCTTTAACCATCTATTTGAATGGCTAAGGAGCCAATCCGAGATTGTAATTGAACCTGGGAGTAGAAAGCCTCTCTTTCTCCCATGGAGCTGCTAGTGGTTTCAAACTGCTGACCCCACAAAGCCCAACTTGTAACCATTGTGCCACCAGGTTCCTTAATGAAACACAGAAGTCCATTTTTATTACATGATAAAAGTTGCTGAGAGTATCTCAAGTTGTCATTCTGATTCTTCTAGGTTTAATCATGCCTATGGAAGCAAAACCAAAACAGATTGAAATTTTTTTAATTTGGGTGAACCAGTAAAATAACCAGACTGGGAAAAATTACAGGTTAAAGCCCTGCTAGAACCTTACTCTCTACCTTTTAGCAAACAACGCTACAGGGGGTAAAAGGAAATAAAAGAGAATGAAATTTTCCCACAAACTTTTAAAAGGCTGACCCTCCCCCCCCCATTGTGTGTGTGTTTATGTGTGTAAACTGTTTCATTGAAATATAGTTCACATACCATACAATTTATCTGTTTAAAGTACACAATCCTATGGTTTTCAGTATATTTACTGAGTTTTATAACAGTCCATTCTAGAACATTTTCATTATCCCTAAAAGAAACCCTACAACTCATAGCCATCATCCACCAAACCCTCCATTCCCACCCACCCCCAACCAGAAAAATAAGCCCACTGATACTGAGACAATTCTACCTCATAGCTACCCTAGATAGGGTTTCCAAGGCTGTAAATCTTTACAGGAGTAGACAGCCTCATTTTTCTCCCTGGGAGCACCTGGTGGACTTGAACCACTGACCTGTGGTTAGCCCAACGCATAACCCACAGCACCATCACTTATCTATTTATTGTGGACATTTTCTATAAATGGAATCATACAATCTGGTCTTTTGTGACCAGCTTCTTTCATTTGGCACATTGTTTACTGATTAGGGCAGCTGTTCAGATTAGGGCAGGTAGACGTGTAAGTCAGGAACAGTAGGAAAGTTGGCTATGATTTGAAATTGAATAACACAATTAACCTTTATTGATAATAGGTCAAAATTAGCAGGCCTTGAGTCTGAAAAAGCCAAGGATCTAGTCATTCAATATTCACTGCCATCAAGTCAATTCTGACTGATGACAACTCTTACAGGTCAGGGTAGAACTGGCCCGGTGGGGTTTTGAGACTGTAACTTTATGGGAGTAGAAAGCCTCCTTTCTTCCACCGAGTGGCTGGTGGTTTTGAACTACTGACCTTGCAATTAGCAGCCTAACAAGTAACCACTGTACCTCCAGGGCTTAGCCATTCTAATAGATGAAGGTTAAAGTAACTAAAACAGTAAGGAGCAGTTTAAGAACACAGCATGTTCTAATCCATGTACTTTATAAGGATAATTCCAGTAATGGGGAGAATGCTCTAGTTCATTTAGTCAACAAAGATCTATTATGCAACCACAGTAAGTCCTTAGAATTCAGATCTCTCACGCTTTTCACCCTACTACACTTGACCCTAAAAATCCTATGACACGATATTATTTGTAATTTTGCTTAGACAGAAATTTAAATATGGCTCAGACTAATGGTAATCCTTACTGAATGACCTGATTGCCTCTAAATCTAGGGCTCACTGCAAATATTGTTGCTTTCTTGTTAAAGGACTGAAAGAAAGGTCATTTCAATGTTTGTTATACTGCACTTACTGAATTTGATGGAGGGAATTACATGTTACAGTTGTATTTACAAATTTGAAAACTCACGGCCAGGAGATGATATTCTTCCATGGTCTCTGCTTTTTTTGTGCAAAATGCTGTTTCATCTCTGTTGGCTTGGGGAAGTCTCAAGCTTTAACTCACCATTTCTCCTGGGAAAACAGATGGAACAAAGAAATGGATTCATGGCCTCTTCCCAGTGGAGGATAAGTAAAGTATCAACCAGGACTGTAGATTCTAGGTAGTCACCAACCACAGTAAAGTGTATAATATTAAAAATTGGAGGTTCGTAATAGCAGTCAGGAACTACTTTGCGACCCATGTCAAAAACTCTGTTATCGTTATTATTGTATT